CCCTACTATCCGCTCCCGTTACCTTCCTTTTTCCTCCCAGATTGACAAATCACATGTAAACTAGTAGCAAAACTCTTGAATAGTCGTAGCCTGCATATCGCTCAGGGCGATGGGTTAGGGTAAATGAATACAACTTAACTCAACTTAACTCAATCAAGGTAAACCCTTCGAACCTATTCACCCGCTAGGTAATTCCAACGCCTAGGCTAAAGAGGCCTCGTTACAGAAAGTTAGCTATTAGAAAAGTAGCACCCGAGTCACGTACGCCCCACGTATTACCCGCAGATTATAGGCACCACTACGAGTATCGCCCTTCGTCGCCCGGCGACAAAAGGCTACAGTCGCCCTTCGTGACAAGGCGACATCAGATTATTAGCATTTCCTACATATATTTAGACTACGCTCTCTAGCAGTAGATAGGACCTTCGTAGTCAACTCAAAGTATCAATCTATACCCTTAGGTTAATAGTAACACGCCTACACCCGATCCTTCACGTAACTTATCTCTCCACTTCCTATACTTCTTATCCTTTAAGGTAAACCCTTCGAACCTATTCACCCGCTAGGCAATTCCAACGCCTAGGCTGAAGAGGCCTCGTTACAATTTCTAGTTACGTATTTTCCTCTATAAACCAGGGTTAAGTCGGGTTCGTTTCTTATTCTAGATCTATATTATCGTCTGTTAGGATTAGGGAGGAGAGGATTATTCTTAGGCGGGTTAGGGGGGGAGTAGAGGAATCCTCCCGGATATTAGGGGGACGTATTTCTATTTCGAGATTAGAGTCTCGAAGTTATAGTTCCGGGTAGTTCTTAGGGGAGGAGTTTTAGCACGGACCGCCGAAAAATTTTCCCGTTATGTTAGGAGAAAGGCTAGTATATTTTCTAGTTTAAACGTAATAACTAAGGCCTATAGCCTAGTATAAGTTAGGGGGGTAAATAAGTTAGCTGTTCCGGTTCGTTTAATACCGGATTTAGGTCCCTAGGAGCGCTGGTTATTACGTTCCCTTCTGCCTCGAGAAAGTTATTACTATCGACTAGGAATCCTAGCTACGCTAGAATTCCTTAAATAAACGAGGATAGCTACGCGGAAATAGCGCCTTAACGACCTTCCCGAGGGGGAGTAAAATACCTATAATTCCGATCTACTCCTTACTATTTTATCTTCTCTAAAAACCCTTTTCTTTCCTTCGTTTTTATTACCTCGGCCTAGATCTAACTATCCCTCGCACTACCTCGCTTTTATCTTATATTTAAACCCCCTAGCTAGTCCTAAATAGACCGTCCGTTATAGTTTCCAACTACATATAGACGTAAAACGAATCAATCAATCAATTAATCAATCACTATTAAAAAAGGCCGCGAAATCCTACTGCACGCGTCCACGTCGCCGCGGCTGGTAATATCCATTAGAGGAGCGTCTCTAATGGGTAGCTGAGTGCAGAGGTGATGGGTGGTAGCCTGTAACACGTCATTACAGGCTGTTGGGGTGCGGCTTCGACGCGATGAAAATTTTTCATCGACGCGCCGACCACGACCACAACCGCGCTGCCTACTGCCTCCGCTTAGGCAATGCGACCATCTATCTAGGGAGGCCTATCAAGGGAAATGGGAGACGAAAACCAACCGACGTACGACTACCTGGCTCGCAGCCAGGCCCGACGCTGGCCTATC